TAGTTAGATTCTGTCAATTGGCCTACATTAAAAACATTGTTGTTCAGTGGACACAGAATTTAATATACCCATAACATTTATTCGATGAGATTTTTCTCTTGTAGAACTCATTTCCAAACTGCTGTCATCGTCAGTTTTAAAAATTATGGTTCATTAACCATGGTTTTCGACCATTCTAAAAGTTATATTTTACTTATTATTCACATCTGTGTTTTTCCCTTTGAATGTATGAGTCATATGGTTTCCTTCATTCCATATGCAATAATTAAATTATTTTTCCCTATAATTAAATCAAATTTGATTTAATTTTCTGTATGTTAAATAATGTTAAATGTTAAATAAAAGATGAAACATTGTTATAAATGTACAGAATCAGTATCACATAATGTTTTTAAGTCGAAATAATCTTAATTCCTTCCACCTAAAGATATGTTTTTTCATCATTAAAAATTTTCAATTTTATATTATTTTAATTAAATTATATTATTATTCTAATTTTGTGTGAAATATACCGGATCTGTCGAGAGGAACGGGCCAAACTCCAGGAGTGGGTTGCACACAGAAAAATTCTAATAAAATAACTCATATGTTCTTATTCGATTTTGATTTGTCTACATTTTATTGGCAAATTATAAATAAACAAACTGCTTAGATTTTTTATTTCGATTTCAGTTATAATGACTATTAGAGAATGTTCCTCTAAACATCAGACTACAATTGTATTTTCAGCATGACGGAGCTCCCGCTCATTTCGCTTGCCAGGTGAGGCATCAGTTGGAAAGATTTCAAGATTGTTGGATTGGTCCCAGTGGTCCCATTAGTTTGTTCCAAGATCTCCAGACCTCACTGTACTGGATCATTGTTGATGGGAATGATTCAAAAATGAAGTATGCAAAGTAAAAGTAGATACTCTAGATATACTAATTCAGCATATTAAATATGCTGCAGACGTCATTAAAGGAATATATGAAACAAACAGCTGGGCAACTGTCACCCATCGAAAACTAAGCCGAAAATGTTAAGAAGTCAACGGCAGTTTTTTCGAACACTTATTAAAATAAGACTTGGACAACCGAAACGCTAATACATGTGTGAAACATTTTTTATTTTTAAAATTTAAACAAATTAAAATCGGATAAATATATATTTTTTTTTGTAAACCTCTATTGTTTGTATATGTGTATTATTGTTAGCATAAATACCTAATAATGTATGTTATCAATAATAAACTATACATATATAAAATATGGGCCTTACCCATAAATCAGTATTTGGAATATCGCTGTCTTCTCAAAGTTATGTTTATGTCGATTCCTTAGCGAATGATTGACACATTTACTAGCTGTTTAATATTAGGAAATTACTTCAGGAAACAAATGAGGCTTTGTTAACTATTTGGCAGTTTTCAACTCTTCAGCACTCATTATCCTTAATTTCCCCACACAAGGGATGACACTATGTGATGTCAGGAAATCACTTCAGGAAAAAATGAGCCTATATAGATAAACTTTACCAGAAAAATACACAACACTTTTATTCTTCTACATAAACATCACACTATCAGGAACAAAGGACTACTACTCTCTGGGTAACTACACCCAAGCGAACCTGCCTTTGTTTACAACAGCTACAGTGCTGCCTGATAACATGCATCAACTCTACAAGCAGTATAAATAATATTCCGTAAAGCCGATTCATCGGTCCAATAGGAGGGAAAATAAAATTTGTAAGAAAAGGAGTGGACAAAAAAACAACGGTGTATGCTTTAGACCAGACCATAGAAGGGAAAACATCAACAAGGCTCATTACGAAGAAGATCAAATGTTTAACATTTCCCATGCTTACAGTATACAGGGCCGATTTTTAGTATCTGAAATATTTTAATCCAAATGTTCAACTAACCTCGTTATCATTTGGTTTTCGACACTATTTTTTCTTATCCGCCTCCTTGACACGGCATTGAGTTAAGATACAATTTTGAATTATAGGCTATTACAGAGGGAATGAAATGCTGAACAATCTCCTCGCTTACAGTTTCTGAGATATTTTAATTCATATGTAAAAACATTTCAAGTAGTCGACTCTAGCCGACTTTACCCGAGCGTTAAAGCTTCGGAAATGTAATGGATCAATCTAATTCATTCACAAAAAAAAGTGCAAAACGCGCCTAAAGAAGTTTCCACTTAAAAAAAAAAAAACAATAAAAAAAGATGGTTAAGCAAGACGCTCCTTTACCTGTTCTTTACCATATCTACAACTTTTCATTGCAAACCTCCATATTCCCATACTTCTGGAAAACTGCCCTAGTCCGACCTTTGAATAAAATTTCCAACCCCACCTCACTTCACGACTTCCGACCTATTTCTCTCCTTTCCAATCTTTCAAAACCGTTAGAACGCATTGTCCAAAATCAACTCTCCAACTTTCTAGAGCAACGTTCCCTCAACCCATTCGGATCTGGACTTCGACCGGGGTACTCAACGCAATCTGCTGTCCTTAAAATAACCTATGACCTCCAAAACTCCATTGAACACCAAAACCTTACTATCCTCATCCTTCTAGATTTTTCCAAAGCGTTTAACACAGTTGACCATAACATCCTCCTTACTAAATTGCACAATCTTCCTCTATCCAACAGTAGCCTACGTTGGTTCGAATCCTTCCTTTCTAATCGGACCCAATATGTAGTCGTCCCAGGTCAACCTCCATCTGTGGTGTCCCTCAAGGTTCCTCTCTATCTCCTATCCTGTTTGCTATTTATATAAATGATCTTTCCCTCCTGATCCATCACTCCCAATACCATATCTATGCAGATGATTTCCAAATATATCTGTCCTTCTCGCCCTCCGACCTATTATCAGCCACAGAAAACTTCAAGAAGATTTGGATAGGATTTGTGACTGGGCTAGAACTAGTGAAAAACTAGTAGAAAAAAACTAACTAGTTGAAGTTGAATGCAGAAAAGAAAAAGACAATCTTAATAGGCTCCAATCACCTCCTTAAAACTTTTCCTAATATTTTAACTCTGTCCATACATGATAATCCCAACAAATTTTATCCCCTCATCAAAAACCTTGGAATGATCTTTGATCAAAGACTTTCCTGGAAAAATCATGTATCCAACATCTCCCGCTGTACTATTTTCACCTTAAAACGTCTAAATTACTTCCGTCAGATATTTCCCCTTGAACACCGTAGGCTCCTAGTAACTTCCTTAATTTTTCCCTACTTTGACTATTGCTGTACAGTATATGGGGGCGTCTCTGGGGATCTCGAGACGAAATTAAAACGTTTGACAAATTGCTTTGTACGATTCATCTTCAGGATCCCAAGGGACGCCTCTGTTTCCCATTTTTATGCAGAGTTAACATGTCTTTATCCTTCCTACCGTCGTAAGTATTTCCTGGCATTCTTTCCCTTTTAAGCCATCCAATCCCATCGTCCTTCATACATCTCCGAGCTCCTTCAATTCAAATCCTCTGTTCGTTCCTGCAATACTCGTTCCCGGTCTTCTGATCTACGCATAAGGGCCCACCGAACCGCTGCTTTCGACAGATCGTTCATTATCCGATCCTCATCCCTTTGAAACTCCATCCCTTCCCAAATCCGTCAATCCAATACCCTTCCTACCTTTAAATCCCGCATTTCAATCATTTCTTATCCATCCAGTCCCCATAAAATTGTAAATAGTTACTACTGTAAATATGTATATGAATTATTAAATCGTTCTTCATTATTCTTACTTCATGTTTATTTTTATTGTTTTTTTTATTATTAACTGATTAAAATTAGAAAGTAACTTATAATTTATTTTATTATTTTTTGAAACTTGACTATTCACTTACACTATATTTTTTTAATGTATCTCTGAGACTCCGTAGCCAACATTTTTGTCTTTCTGTATTATTTTAAAGGGACTCATCCCAGAATAAATAAAGCATTATTATTACTATTATTATCATTAAATAAAACAAAGGACGTGAGGCCCAAATATCAGTGTTTAGAATAGTGATGTCTATTGAAATATGGGAAAGCGGAGGACCAAAAAAAAAAAAAAACTATAAATAAATAAAAAATCATCCAACTCTATTAATCTCGACAAAAAAAGGTCGTAAGGCCGATATGTCGGTCTTTGGAATATCTGCATTTGCCTAAATTAGAGGAAGAGGAGGGCCAGCAAAAGAAATTAAATAAAAATTGGTCCAATTCTACCAATCTCAATAAAATAAGGTCATAAGGCCGATATACCGGTATTTGCTCAAATGTATGTTTATGTTGATCCCTTGACGAATAATTAACAGATTTACTAGCAATAACAATAATATTCAAAGTAAAAGAGACCGATATATTGGCTCAAGGAGATGACCAGAAAAATTGGAAGATGTTCAAAAAAAAATTGGCGAACTCTACCAATCTTAATAAAATAAGGTCATAAGGCTGATATATCGGTCTTTGATCAAATGTTTGTTTATGTTGATCCCTTGATGAATGATTAACACATTTATTAGCAATAAAAATAATATTCAATGTGAAAGAGGCCGATATATCGGTTTAAGGGGATGGTCAGAAAATTGGTTCGTAGTGAAAAAAATACTAATAAAAAACAAGAAATCAAACTCTACTAATCTTGATGAAATAAGATCGTGAGGAAGATATATTGTTTTTGTTATTTTTATTAGTATTAAAAATAATATTTTAAATGGAATTATTTGAATCTCGATAAAACATAGTTGTAAGGTCAACATATCGGTTTTTGGAATATTGGTATTTGACCAAATTAGGAGAAGGAAGGGCCAGAAAAAAAATTGAATAAAAATTTGTCCAACTCCGTATCTGCTGAAAATCTGAGGAGAGGGGATGAGCAAAAAAAACATATATCGGCCGATACCAAAAATCGACCAAAAGATATTAATATCGGTATCGGTCGATCTCTGATATGTATAGATATATTATTGTTTTAAATAAAATTTATGTAATTATTGTGTTCATATTATTTACAGATGGAGACGCTACAAGTGCAGTTGTGGGAATGGGATCTGGTTGCATCCTTATACTGATAGTATTGGCTGTGTATTTCCACAAGAAACTATGTTTTCAATACGGAGTTCACCTTAATTTGCCATGTTGTGACAAAAGTCTGAGACCTTCCTCCAGTTTAGGTTAGAGCTGCATTTTTAAATTTAGACAAAATATTCTTATTCTATAATTAAAATATTTGATAATTTGATTTACTTAAGAAATTTCATTTTATAATAGTATCACTAGCGGATCCAGGATTTAATTTTGGGGGGGGGGCTTCAGCCCGAAAGATTTTTTTTTCATATAAGTATAAAAATGATTAATTAAAAAAAAAAAAAGAAAGAAATTAACTACCTATACGAATTGATGTTTAAGTGGTTCTTGAAGCCCTATTAAATGTAATTAAACGAACAAGAATACTTTAAGTGATAGTTTTTAGTATTTTTTTCTGTAAAATATGGTTATATTTTACCATTTTGGGGGGGGGCTTCAGCCCGAAAGCCCCCTCCCCGTAGATCCGCCTGTGAATAGTATTAATGAATTGTTTTATTTCTGAATATTATTTCGCTAAGTAATAAGTGAAACACCCATAGAAGAAAAAATAGGATTTTCCTAAAGACAAAATGTGATCAACGGGTGAAAAGCTTTGTACTAGATGTATTTTTATTTTTACTTTAGCCTATCTTTATATGAAACAATAGGAAGGAAAAGTATTCCGATAGTGATAAATGTAAAATCCCAGTTTTCAATAGAAATGCATGTTTTATGCTCCTCTGAGTCCAAATAACCAAGTCTCACTAGATGATCTCTATATCTATGTGAACAGCACAGCTCAAAAACGAAGAAACGTGACACTTAAATTACATATTTTAGGTAATTATGTGTCTGGGTTTTTACAGCAACATTTTCGCTAAAATCGACTTACCGGAAGTACCATTTCATATCTTTTATTTTTCAATATTCTGGAAAATGTTTCTTAACATTTTTAATAAATCCTTATATCGGTGTAAAATTAAATAATCTTTTATATCAGTTATGTCTTATCCTAATTGAAATAGTCTAACAGGACTTCAATGCCAAAATTTTAATTTATTTTCTGTTAAAGTACATTTTATATTGATTATTATAAATAATTAAAGATCCTTCATTATCCGTTGTTATGCGAAATGGATAAATATTAACTATGAAAGAATTTGAAATTACCTAAAGGAGAATATAATATCGTATATCGGGTACATTTTACCTCATAATAATTAGAATCCCTAATATCCTAATTATAATAATATCTTATAACATCCCTTATATGTACGTAGGCCGAGTTAAATGTATATATAGCTAATTTTCTGGCTGACCGCTTTTCTGAGGGGGTACCAGAAACAGCCTTTATGTGTATTTAATATATTTCAACTAAATATATATTACTATTTCTATCAGTTCCAAAAGGGAACCGATCTATTTAAAAATATACTAATTGTATCATCCTCCTCATCATCATTCGATGACGCTGTGGTCCTTGAAAAACCTTGGCCTCCTCAACTATCCTTCTCCAAACCGACCTGTATTCAGCCGCTCCTATCCATTCTACAACACACAGACTACGAAGATCGTTCTCAACGTGATCCAACCAACGATGTCTAGGCCTGCTTTTCATCTGTCACCAGGTTATCCCTCCATCATCATTTTAGGGAGCCTGCTATGTTCCATTCTTTACACATGAAGCAGCCACTTTATTCCCTCCCCCCTTTTTATGGTGAATATAATATCTGATGCATTATATAACTTCTTCAGCTTTTCTACAGTCTTCATTCATTGATTTCCTTCTTTGGTTGGGCCATAGATTTTGCGAAGAATTTTTCTTTCACACTTGTTCACTCGCCGTAGTAAATAATGTACAATAATGCAATGCCTCTATATTTTTGGCAATCCAGCCAGCCCCCATTTTTTATGTATTAGTAAAGTACCAGCCACCTTCCATTCTTTTGACATCCAAATATCTAATATTACCTCATATATTTCCTTGTGCAGTGCCTCTCCTCCTAATTTGAGTGCTTCTGCTGGTATCCCATCCTGGTGTTTTGTCATATTTTAGATTCATGACTATCTCTCCTTCTTCAGGGTCTGGAGGTTCCTACTGTATCTCTTCATTCACTGCTTCTACTTCCGAAGACGTTTCTTCCCGTTTTTATTAGAGCTTAGTATCTCTCGGAAGTAATTTCTCCAATTTTTCATCACATCACCATTGCCTCCCAAGAGTCGATCTTCCTTAACTTTACAGGAACAGGTGCGAGGTTGAATTCCTTTTTTTATTGTTCTCACGAAATTTCAGCTATTTTTATTTTCAAAATCGTCCTGCATACTCTCAAGCAAACCATCCATTTTTTCGTTTTTCTTTTTTCTCCTGTTATCATTAATAGCTGCTCCACTATATTTCTTTTTTGTTTGTAGTATTTATTGGCCTGTTTTGTATTTCTTTGTAACATCCTTGCAAAAGGTTTTGTCTTCTCTTATACTGCTATTTTATATTATTCATCAAACTAGCTATTCTTTCTTTCCTTCTTTTTCTCCTCTTATATTCCTTCAGCAGCACTTCACTGCTTTTGTCTCTAAGAAGTTGCTTCTTAACTCTTCTTCGACCTTTCTCACACATACTTCTATTTTCTTAGGATTTTTTTAGATCTCTTTCCTTATATATGTTCTTAGCACTGTTTGTTTTCCCTCTTCTTCTGATGACAAGCCTTTTTTTGTATCTCATCCGTACCAGAAATAATCATTTGAACATTCTGCACCCCTGTAGCTCTTCACATTTTCAATATCACTTTGATGCCTACTATCAATCATGATATGATCTATCTGGTTCATGGTTTTGCCAACTGGAGAGATCCAAGTTTTTAAGTGAATAACTGTTTTCTAAAAGGCTGTACTTGAGATTTCTAGGTTTTTCTTTCTTGAAAGTCTGCTATTCTTTATCCATTATCATTGCTATATTTATGGAGACTGAATTTATCCTGCTTCTTTCTCAAGCTTTCTTCTACCCATATTGCTATTGACATTTCTCAGGATAATTTTGACATTATATTTTGAGATTTTGTCAAATTTTGTTCCAAATTGTTCATAAAACACTTTTTTATCTTCATTTATCTTAGCCTCAGTGATTTCATGTACATTTATCAGAGAAATATTGAAGAACTTTCTTCTCAATCTTAAAGGGTACATTCTTTCATTGATTGTTGTATATCCCAAAATAGGATGTTTTATATTCTTACTTATCATGAAGCCAGTGCAAACCATAGTTTCTACGTGTCCTCTGTTGATAAAGATATGTGAATTTAGTGTTATTATTGTTGGCTCTTTTTTCCATCTTATTTCACCTGCAAGGCCACAATATTGATCTTTATAGACCTAAGCAATCTTCTGAAAGTCAACTCTATCCTATCAGAAGAAGGCTACGTATGTCCTTTGCGGTCTGGGTCGCTTGCTGTTTTTCAGTCCAAATCTAAAGGTTTCTTGAGGTTTTTTTAGCTTAATGTATTAACAGGTAGGGTTGCAAGCCCCACACTGCACCACTTTTAGTCTCCTTTTACGAATCGTAGAAGATAAACCACGCCCATTCTGTTCCGAATCTGAACAGAACACTAAATATATATTTAATATAAATGAACAAAGCTAGATACCACAGACCCACCTCCTGCTGAAATAGATTAGATCGATTTGTTATTACTATCATATATCTTTTCCAAAGGTATCTTATTACCAATTAATTTATTACTAATTATATATCAAAATGGTAGCATGCAGAAAAAAAGACCAAAAACCAAATTCTAATCTAAAAAAAAAAAGGCCTATTTGCTATTCAAATGTTAGAAACACATTGAGGATGCTGAAGTGGGCATGACTAATCATTTGTTATTTTATAGATTGCCAAAAATAATAAGCGTCAGCTACTTTCTTCTGATTTCTGGTGCCACTGTCATCTCCATGTATGTTCTTGACTACTTCTCCTTTCTTCTCAACATTCAGCTCCTTCTTTTTTGCTGCTTCTTAGATCCTGTTTCAGTTTTCAAGGAATTCATTCATACTATCCTGTTCCATTAAAAAATATTTTCATCTAAGTATGCTGTGTTTAAAGCAACCCAATGTAATTGGGCAGCACCCTTTTATGATAATAAAGTGATTCTCTCTCTTCTTCACTTATTTGCTAGAATTTTCTCTTGGTCGAATTTAGTTTCAGGGCGGGACTACCCTTTTCCACTTCTTCAGTAGAAGTTCAAATTCTTCTTTAAAATTGGTCTGGCTTTGATTTTATGACATATGCAAAGTTATATCTTATTACTCTCTAAGTGGATTGTTGGCGAAATGCTTGTATAACCCAACTGGGCTCAAGTATTCTCCTATGCAAAGTTTACCTGCAATATTCTATGTTGGCAATATGTAAATTTTTCTACATTGTACTGGCTAGATTTATTTTTAATTATTGAAATATAAATCCATACGTCACCACCCTATACACATAACATTGTGTGTGTGTGCGCGTGCGTGGTCTTTTCTCTATTAACCGATTTTCATCCATGCTACCATCTGTATTTGATAATTTTGCTTTTTCCTTCGTTTCTTCTTTTCTTTGTGTATAAGTTTCTTGGCTGGCTCTGCTGTTACAACTGATTTTTCGGTTACTTCTTTCTCTTCCTGCCTTTCATCTCCAGGTTTTTCTTTTTCCGAAATGTTCATTCCAACTGGTCTTTGGGCTTTAGCAATTTTTGTCTTTTGAGTGTTAGTTTCAGTATTTTCAATTTCTTATTTTTTTCATAAATAGTTTTATGATCTATTTTTCATTCGCTCACCTTTTCTGTAAAAGATTTCGTTCTTTATAGCCTGCCTCCTTATTTGTCTTCAGATTTGGTATATTTGTTTCATTCAGGTCTGGTGATTTAGATTCAATCTCTTTATTTTCAGAATAATAATCAGAAAATTCAATCTTTACATCTAATGCAATTCTTGCATTGCCAAACACTGTTTCAACTAAATGATTCAAGAAAGTTATAATATAATTACGATATTTATGTTGAATAAGCTGAAATAACTTTCTTGTTTGTACTGGATGATATGCTATCAAATTTATTTGTCCTTCATAATGCTTTGTGAAAGAAACGGTTCAAAACCCAATGCTAAATACAAATTGAGTAACTTAGAAAAATATAAGAATTGTGCTATAATTGAATGTTACAGTCTAAGCATTCCTTTTCTTTTTTACTGCTATTGAATCAACTATAAATATCGGACCAAATAGTTTTTATTTTTTTATTAGAATAAAAATAATAGGTTATTGTTTCATACTTCTAGGGGAAGCTTTTAAAGTTGCTGAAGCTGAAAGTAGTTCTGATAGTGATGAAGAAGTTATTAATAAGTTGCATAAGTCTATGACCCTTCACTCAACAACAACCACCCATCCTCCTCACTTCAATATCAGTGAGCTATTTAATTTACCATACAATAAAATATGTTAACAATAGTCCTCTACTAAGAGGTATTTTATTATTATATTTTAATTTATAATGATTTTTGTATTTCAAAAATACTCATATATTGACTTTTAGGTTGAGTATTATCTCATTAGTTTACTATGATAATGGTTTAAAAGTATTTTGAAAAATATCCCTGAAACTACTTTTCAATTTTTTTTTTTCTTGAAGAACAAAAATATCACATATGTATAAAACAATATTTTCTATTTAATAAGTAGTGAAACTAAAAATAGGATCAATGTTTATTTAAGTTTTCTAAAGATATTGCAACATGCGGCACTTGGACATTAAACATGGTAGCTTACAAATTGAAAATTTCTATCTTGCTTAAATATCAGTTACAATGTTTTAAATATGGTAACCTTCAACCATCAATTATTTGCCATAACTTAATACCAGCATTATTCTTTTAAAAAGACAAATTTTCTACATATTCTATCAACAACCTATAAAATCACTTTGAATTAATCCAATGTTATAAAAAACATCGAGCAAAAATGCTGGATACTATAATTCTATTCATTACTCCTATTCATGATGTCCCAAAGTCCTTTTCTTCATAAATCTAAGACTGTTGGATAACCATTGTTTTATTGCTTTAATAACATAAATAGTTTAAAGGATGTTTTGGCCAGTACTGGTGTAATTTTCAAGTATGAAAAAAATTGTCAATCTTAAAACTATACAGCTAAAAAACATAAAATTTCTATTTCATATTTTACATATATGAATTCATTATTTATCTGCTCATTATATATATATATATATATATATATAATATATATATATATATATATATATATATATATATATATATATACCAATATATATATATATATATATATATATATATATATATATATATATATTATGCCCATATTGTATATAGATATTAGTTGACAGTGAGAGAAGAACATATAGTTAATTCTTCTAACAGAGCGATCATTTTAGGAGAATCATTGCCTGATCATCGAAAGAAAGGTGAAACTGATCTCGAGTATGAAACATAGATTGAAGAAGACAAAAGTTCTGATCAATTAAGTTTTAGACCATTCATTGGTAATCCTGCTTGAAATTGAAAGCAAGATGTGAAAGGTGTCTCAGCTTTAGAAAGCCAATAGGTAATGATGCTCTAAAAAATAATCAACCTACGAAATTGCTCCCAGAAATATTGAAAAAGAAGAAGGATAAAAATGACATCATTAAAATTCAAAATGTAAATGATATGCAAAATTTATCAGCTGCTGATAGGCTATTGCTCCAGAACTAATGTATGGTCCCTCACTTCTGACCAAATCAATTTTTGTAGAGAAAACTGCTACAAATGATGACAGTGAATCTTCTTCTTATGAAATAGAATGGGTCAAAAAAGTAACAGTAAGACTAAGACTAAGAAGCGTTCAGAAAAGACAAAATAAGGGAACTCTAGGGTCTGAAGGCTGAAGAGTGTTCCTCTGGTTATGTTTTACTATTTTTGAATTGTAAGAAACAATCCAAAACTCGTCAGGTGAGAGGATATTAGGAAATCAGTCAAAAGTTATGTTTATTTTATAAATATTTAAATGATTTCACATTGTTAAAAATATTCATAAGTGAAAAATAGTTGTAATTGTTGTAAAACGTCTTCTTCTTCGTATTCGGCGTTACGACCCACTAGTTGAGTCATAGCCTCCTCAAGCTTAGACCACCAGTCCTCCCTGTTCCGTGCTGCTGCTTTCCAGTTCATAACACCGAGCAGAGATCTCGCATCTGCAGCCACGCAGTCTTCCCAGCGAAGTCTGGGGCGTCCAACCCGCCTTGTACCATACATTTGCCCAACTGAGATCTTGTAAGGAACTTCGTTTGGATCCATCCTTATGACATGACCAGCCCAGCGAAGTCTTGATACCTTTACGAATGCTGATGCGTCTATTTCTTGTAAAACGTCTAAAAGTCTCAAATTCTATAATCTCTTTTGCAACCTCGTGTTGAAATAAAAGTGAGTTTATTTCAATTTCAGAGTACTTGGTTTTATTTGTACTTTTTTTTAACTTAGAGATCAAATATAACGGTTTGTTATATATTGACCCCAAACCAGAACATATATATATTATTACCTTATTTTTTCTATCAATATTCAATCCACTTGTCCCTATTTATTCATTTGTTTTGGAAAACAAAAGAAAAACAAAATTGCCATGTTGAGTCTCCCCTCTTCATATCTAATATTACATGGAGAGACTGACTAAAAATCATCATGATGGAAACAGCAAATGGAGAGGTGGGTCTTAATAGGGATTAATTCAGATTAATATAGATATCAAATTCTACATGTATGCTAGTTAATAGAAAAGTAAATATTGTAATACATAATTGTTTACTAAATATTGGGTATGTTTGTGTAAATTATAAAAATTTAATTTTTTTAATTGTATAATTTTGAAATTGTTTTTATATTGAAAAATGTTTTCAGACTTGAAAATGGCTCTAGTACTGGCCGAAAAGTATTCTTTTAAAATAGTTATGTTATAAAAACAATAGTGATCAAATGGCCTTAGATTTATGATCAGATAGATACCATGTTTTATGATCGAGTGCATCATATGGGTATATTCATACTTTTGAAATTAACTGAAATTATGTGATGAATTGAGATAATTTTCTATTGAAATTTTTTTTTAAATTTATATCAAGAACACTGTTTAAGAGTTGTTTATCTCCTCAAGTTATAGCTTATAAATTCATAAAAAATTTAAAATAAATAATAATTTTATTGATTCATTTTAGGAACCCATTTAGAAGGAGAAAATGAGCATGAGGAAAGAAGTAGTGCTAGTTCTTGTTGCTCTAGTACAAGTATGGATGAAGGTATTAGAAATAGGGAAAAAAAGCTCAAAAAGAATGATAATCAACAGGAGAATCAAAATGATGCAAGTATCCTTAGTGTATCTTTATTGGGATTTGTTTTACCAAACGAACATACAAAAACTACCTGTATAATTTTTATATACCAATATAATTAACATATTTTGTTATAAATATATCTTATGTGTTATATATTATTCCTAATTATTTAAATTTTATATCTGAATTGTGAATTATCATTTAAATACTTATACGTAGCACTTAGATTAATATCTCCACATAATATTTCCGTTATATGTATTAAAAAGGAAAAGATTGGGTCCCTGTGGTGAATTTAATATGTAATGGGTGCCTCAGAAATTTGTTTCCAGGGTACTTAGTTTCTCTCCATGGTAGTGTGCAAATTTTAGGATATAATTAATGAAACATAGTATATCAACTACATTAATCAAATAAAAATGTAAAAGTATTCTAGATTAATGTTTATTTTTAATTTTAATACTCTATGATTTAAATATTGCTTATTACAGTGCATAGTAATCATGGGTCAAGAACCAGCATTTGACTTGAGTGATGTAAAACGAGGAGGGCATGGTGATGGTTCAGGTGCATTACAAGTTTCTCTTGCATATGATGCACCAACAAGGAAACTTACTCTTCATCTTCTCCAAGCTACTGACATGCCTTCTCCTCCAACAAATCTACAGGTAAAAAATATGCACTGTGTTGGGTTCCTTAAACATCTGTTTCTTTTCTTTTGTTATGTTTATAATAACACTATATTAATTAATATTTTGCATGACTTAAAACTTGTAAAAAGAAACAAAGTATTAACATAACACTAAAAATATTTTATGGTAATCATTTTCATTTCATTGATTACAAAAAATTGAGAAACCATTCTGGAAATGTTTTTTAAAAAGTATCCCAACATGCATCTAGAAAGAATAATAGCTTATAGAGATACTCATGTGTTTAATAGTTCATTAATTAATGAAGATTAAAGTTATTTCAAAGAGCTAATGAATAATAAGAATAGGAATAAGTTGGCAGGATGCTGCATGGATGATTCTAGCCAATATTTATTTCTTTTAAGTCTTGATAAATGGAACGTTTGTTATAAACCAAACAGATAAGGTAGTTTAATAATGATAGAACTATATGGGTGTCTTATATAGAATGCTTGCTCTAACACTGTTCAGAATATTTATTATATGTTTACTATAAAGAGTGGGGTAGCTCAGCGGTAGGGTACTGAGCTTCTAATGCTAAAGGTCTCAGGTTCAAACCCCAGCTCACGGCAGAATATTTATTTATCTGTTTCATTGGCCATGGGGCAATTCTGGGTCGGGAGACTCTCCTGGGGCACACAATATCAGCCTCTCTAAAGTGGGTACCCTTAATTAAATAATTAATTAAGGGGGAAAACCTGGCGGCTCAGCGTGATCTCGGTCAAATCACCTCCTTGCACAACCGTTGACCTAGAAACAGTGCTTTCCCTAAATAGAACTGAACCCAAGACCCTTCATGGGTTGTAGTGATACAGGTTTTATTTTATTTTTTCTTTTACTATAATATAATACATTATAATAATCAGAAGTATCATTTGCAAAATGAACACGTATTAACTCAAAATATTGTAAATATGAAAAGATTTCCCAAATGTAATATCAGTATGTGTTTCTACTTTGTTAATGGATTCCAGTTATCTTTTAATGTACAGTTTCACTATTCCGTTCAAGCCATTGGTGGGAATTCATAGTATGTTCTCTTTTTAAATTTTAATGTATATATAGACAGCTACTAAATGGAAGCATGTATCAAGAAAAAGATATCTTTGAATGTATTAATGTTCCTGTAATCACATTAAGTTTATTTATTTTGTCAACAGGCCTTCATGGACAACTTAAATGTCATTTTATATAGGTGTTTCTTTTTTCTTCCAGAAAAATTATTGTTATTAAAAAAAAAAAAATCTTGGATCCACTACTTGTTCAAGCTAATAAAATATTAAATGTTTTACAATAAAGAAAAAATGATTTCATTTTTTATTGAATGTTGCATAAACGAATAATTACAAAATGAGTGAAACATTTTCCAAGGGTGCATCAAATAGATTTAATTTAAATTTAAAAAAGGACTGTCATGAGAAAATATTCAAGAGACATGGCTTTATTTTAAAGATTTATTATTCCCATACTTATATAGTTATACATTAAAATTTGTAATTACATTTTTCAATTTATCTATAGTTCATCTATTTGCTCAATCAGTTTTGTTTTATGCTAATCGAATTGCAATTCTATTACATAATTATTTAAGTAATTTCAAAAGTGGAAGAATAATGTTAATAAAAATAGTATATTTGAAATGGGCAAAAGCTACTTTGAATACTATCTACCAAGTATTGTACTCAATTCAATCACTACTTCAGTTGATCATCAATTATTAACTAAAATAATGATTCTATTCCTTTGTACCTAGACGGGAACAGTATTTGAGTAAAATATGTGGTTCTCAAAGTAGTTTTTTTCCACCTCTGCAGTGTATCAATGCTAAACATTCATATTTTATTTTATGATTCATTGATTTAATTTCAGGTAAGGGTTGTTCTCTTGCCTAACAAGAAACAGAGATATAAGAGTAAGTGCAGACAAGGAGAGAATCCACAATTTATGGAAAGCTTTTTGTTCCATAGGATTAGTCCAGGTATAGTTAATAATTATTTTTAGTATAAAATAATGTTTTTGTAATTAAAAAGATAGATAAAGTTTAGGAAAAATGATAGTTCTGATTTTTCAGGTTAGCAGTTTAAATTTTTAATTATTACTTTGGAATTTCTAATTTTCTTGATTTTTGGCACAAATATTCACCTACCCAGACAAAGGTCAAGAGTTAGATTCAAAACTTAAACTATATTTAAAAACTTCCTGATGATATTCCCAGTTCTAAGGACTGTTACTTTCTGCCCTTCTTTCAATACTTTTTCTGTTAGCTTCAAATTCCGGTACTTGTGACTGACGCCGCCTCTATGAACTGCTATCTGTCAATGTTTATAACCTGAACACTGATAATTGTTATAAGGCACTGATAATTAATTCCTATTTTCATATGAAATTAAACTCTCGTATAATAAGAAATATAAATATATTTGGTGTTGCCTCTTTTTTCCCTTTTTCTTACTAATATATATATATATATATATATATATATATATATATATAATAATAAATATAAATAACACCAGTTCACTTTCCCAGGCATGTAATCCCCAATATAATAATAATATAGTAATTTAATAATAAGAAATATAAATAATTGGTAATTGGTTGATTGTCGTGGATAATGAAGAGAAGAATAGTTGGGGTGCTCAGTCAAAAAAGGAAGGTAAAAAATAAATTATAATATTTATTTTTTACATATGCCGACGTTTCGACCTGAAGTTCAGGCCTTCATCAGGGCTAAGAAAATAACCAGATAACAAGGTATGAGAAACATAAGTAATGATGGTAAAAAAGATAATAAAAAATGAGAAAATAAAAAAATAAAAAAAATAATTATAAGAAAAATAAAATAGATAGATATAAAGTAAAATGAAATTGTTAGAATAATGACTAAGAACTAAGAGATAAATAATAAAAACTGTTACATAGTGTGGAATGATGAAGTAGGCATAATCAAAAAGGGGTGACAAAAGTGTTACATTGGTAATCTTAGAATAAAATGAAAAAACATAAAAAAGAAATATTAAGTTATATAAGAAATGAAAATAAAATAAATAATAAAATTAAAAACATTGAGAATGGAGTAGTTAGATAGAAAATTGAGATATTGTAAAGTCTATCAAGATGTACAGACAATGTATAATATAATAAAGAGTTAACAACAGAGAAAAGGAATGAAAGGAAGGAGGGAAGAAATTGAGAAAGCTGAAATAAGAAAGAAATAAAAAAAGTACTACCTTTCTCCTTAAGTGTCAAGGGGAGAATAAAGTTGTTACAAGGAGGGGGAGAGAGAAGGGATGTGGAGGTGGCGTCATCTCTAACGGTTATCGGACGAAGTTTGAACTAAACGCTAGAAGCCTAAATAGGTACGAGAGATATATTATTTAGAAAAATTATGGAATATTGAACGACAGTTAATAGAAAGTGAAAGAAAAATTCAAAAGAAAAATAACTATTGAGTAATAAGGAAGAAAAATTGAAATAAAAATATATCATATATACATAAATATACATATATATATAAGATAAAGACCGGAGACTGGCGGTATCAGCCTTAATACTATCTGGTAATGTAAATAAACAGGCTAAGTGTATATAAGGAGGCTTATGGAACGAATAAAGCAGTGTTATTTCAGAAGTCGTGTATGTTACATCTTTTCCCTTTTCCTTCTTTTTTTTTGTTTTCTAAGTCCGACGACGCTTAACTGGTGCCGAAACCCGGGACAACGTCAGGGAAGTAATTTTTTTTTAAGTAGATATTTTTTTTTTTGGTGTTTAAGGAAAAGGTGAAATGCCGACAGAAGGATTGATTAGACCGGGAGTACTAAGCGTACCGGAAATTCCTCAACCTCAGGATATTCCACAGATCAATCAGGTACCCCAGATCGCGCCTCAGGTACCTCAGATACCTCAAGTCCCTCAGGTAGCACAGATCCCTCAGATCCAGGAGATCCCTCCATTACCAAGGGACACGTTGGCAGAAGCACACGCCAATGCCTTGGAATGGATGAAAATAAGAGCAACAACCACGCAGGACTTACGGAGGGCCATTGCGGACCTGGAACGATTCGGAGGCGAGGTAGGCGAGCTCAACCATTTCTTGAAAGGCGGAGATCGTCTTATGTCAAGAATCGAGGTGAAGGTGGCGGAGGACCTGGTGAACCTAGGGGACGCTGAAGAACTAAAAGCAGCTCTTGTGTGCCGAGTAAGGAGGAACGTCCTGAACCAGATCCAAGCGGACGAGGAGACTCCGTGGCCGGTGATTAAGGAGCGGCTGAAGAAGGCTTTTGGAGGAGGTAGGTGGACACCGGAAGAGGACATATTCCAAATGTTTAGGGAGCGGCGGGCCCAACGACAGTCAAGGGGGCAATATGCGGGAGTACTCGTGGCGAAGTACAATCGCATAACCGAGAAGATGCGGGAAACAATGAGCGTGGGAGAGGTCGAAGCCAGGATGGAGTTTCTGTCGACAATATTGAAAGTCCAGCTGGCTAAAGAAACGGGGAAGAGGGACGGACTGCCCAGAGAGCGATCGTTCCTCGAATGCGCCCAGGAGATGATCGACCTAAGTGCCAGAGAGGAGGAGACACGGATGGATGTGGAAGAACCGGGTTGGACCCGGGTGACGGATAGACGACCATGGACAGCCCCGACAGGTTGGAAGAAGAGGGACACCAGGCAGCCGAGTGGAGAAAAAGCCCCGACGAGGGAAAGAAGATCGGGACAGTCGTCGAGGCCGAGGAATGGGCCCCGGAGGGAAGAGAGAAAATGTCACGGGTGTGGGAAGCCGGGACATTTAGTAGCGCAATGTCCGCGCACCAGATGCTTCGAGTGCGGGACGGAAGGGCACATAGCAAGGCAGTGCCCATACATATTTCACAGGAGGGAGAGACCTCAGGACGAACCCATGGAGGTGAATGTGCAGAGGATGAAGAAGACGAGCCAGGGTACATCAGCGGGACGGATCTTCGGAGGAGGCAACCGAGGAGTCAGGAGCGTCGGGAACGGAGACGGACGAACCAGGCAGCAGCGGAGGTGAAGGAGGTAGGCGCAGCCAACGGAGTGAGCAGCGACGAGCGGCGGCAGAAAGGAGGAAGCGGGACGACATCTGAGGAGTGTGTCGGCAGAGAGGCGACCGCACAGCAATATGCAACAACATCCGAGGTAAGCCATGCTGGTTGCCAATTATCGAAGTAGACGGGGGAGTAAAGTGTCTTGTGGACACGGGTAGCTCGAGCACTATTATGACTCGAAGGGCGTTAGGAAAAGGGTGCGGGAGCGAGAGGGTACTCCGGATACAGAAATGTGACTGCCAGCTGATCACTCTGGGTGGTCCCTGTAGTGTAGAGGGTGAGGCGACAATTGGGCTTGATCGGTGGACAGGGAAAGAGGGTGAGCTAACGGTGCATGTGGTAGAGAACATGACTCGGGAATACCAAGTCATAGTAGGGTGCGATTTGTTAGGTCAGGTAGGGGCGAGCATTAGAAACCGTAGAGGAGTCTGGAGCGTTAGGTTAGGAAAGAGGAAGTTCGGATGTATAGGGGTCGCGAGAGAAAGAAGGGTGCGGATAGGAGCGGTGGACAGAGTGGAGGACTGGAGGAAGTTGCTACAAGAGGAGTTTAGGGATATCTTCTTCAGGGAAGGTGAGGTATTAGGAGTAACAGGGAGGACGGTGCACGAAATCCCACTGAAACAGGAGAGGGTAACTTACGTGAAAGAGAGAAGATACCCGCAGGCGTTGAGACAGCATATTCGGGAGGAGCTAGATAGTCTAAAAGAACAGGGAATCATAGTTGATAGCACCTCACCATTCAATAGTCCCCTGTGGGCGGTGAAAAAGAAGGCAGCGCCGGGGGATAATAAGGAAAAATACAGGGTGGTAGTAGACTATCGTAAATTGAACGATAACACGGTAGACGAGAAGTACCCGATCCCGAGATTCGAGGATATACTCGATAGGTTGAGTGGGGCCGTGGTCTTTAGCACGCTGGACCTCAAGGCGGGATACCACCAAATACGGATGCACCCGGAAGACCAACACAAAACAGCGTTCACATTTGAAAGGGGGCATTATGAATTCACCAGGATGCCGTTTGGTCTGAAGAATGCGCCCATAACGTTTCAGCGTCTGATGGACGAATTTTTGAGGGGCATCGATGACTCGGTATGCCAGGTATACATGGATGACCTGCTGATTTTTAGCAGAACGGAAACCGAGCACGTGGAGCATCTGAGGGCAGTATTCGAAAGGCTCCGGCAATTCGGGCTGAAATTGTCAAGCGAGAAGTCTCTGCTGGGACAAACGCGGATCAATTTTTTAGGCCACACTATCTCTAGCGAGGGGGTCAGACCGGATGCGGCAAAGGTGGAAGCAATCACGCGGATGGCGGTACCACGGGACGTCAAGGGGATTCGTAGGCTTCTCGGGACGCTGAATTATTACCGGAGATTCGTACCCGAGATGGCAGAGTATTTGGTACCCATTAACAATTTGTTGAAGAAAGGCGCGAAGATTGTGGTGACACCAGAGATGGAGAATAACATTCGAAAATGTATGAATAGGTTGCTGACGGAGCCGGTGTTAGCGTTTCCGGATTTCGAGAAGCTTTTTAATATAACCACTGATGCGAGTGAATACGCGCTAGGGGCCGTTTTGTCCCAGGGGGGGAGTGAGGGTGAACGACCGATAGCATACGCGAGCCGTCGGCTTACGGGTGCGGAATCAAGGTACAGCGCTTTGGAGAGGGAGCTACTCGCGATAGTATGGGCTATCGACCATTTCAGGCCATACGTATTCGGGAGAAAATTTCGAGTCCATACCGACCACAAACCCCTCCAGTGGGTAGGAAAACTCAAGGAAACCTCAGCTAGGGTCACAAGATGGAAGGAGATCCTAAGCCAATACAACATAGAGGTGGTGTATAAGCCGGGAAAGGAAAACGTGGTGGCAGACTGGCTCTCGAGGGCCATCATGATCAACGCGG